TCTTTCCACTCTGTTCCTCATTGACGACTACTTGTAAGAACTAAATCAGAGGGGTCTTTTTTTTGTTTAAAGGGGCTTTTCTTTCCCAGTTGCTGCAAAAGGCTCATGGGCAGTGCAGAGCCTCACTGCTGGAGCTGTGCTGGCACAGCCTCCTACACTGACAGCCCATGCCAAAGAGAAGAGTTTTTCTGCTGGCGTAGTTGCATCACATCCCCAAACGACATAAACTAAGCTGATAAAAAGTTCTCTTCTGCCGGCAGAGCTGCATCCACACCTGGGGTTTTGCCAATGTATCGATGTCAGCAAGGATATATGACTTTTTTCCACGCCCCTGGCTGATACAGTGCTCGCTGGCAAGACATTCTGCAGTGGAGACCTGGCCAAAGTTTGGGGTAGTTTGTTCAGAAGCAGCTTTCACAAACATGAACTGAAAGCTTTTTATAAAATCTGAAATCAATTTCGAAGAGTTCTGTTTTGCAAACTGTCATCTCCACTGCAAATCCATATAAAAATCTGTTCTTAAAGTCTAATCAAATGGACTTCACAACAGTTTGCAATAATGTAATGTCCATAAAATCACATTCAATAATTTTCCTTTTTAACAATTTCATCTTAAATTAAAACACTGAACACAAGTAGGGGAGGAATAAATCTAAGTAACAGACCATTATTTCTTGTGACAATATTGCTGTACACAAGAAATAGCATTGTCACACTGGTTTACCATTTCCTCCTCAGTCTTCATTCCCAAGAGTAATTAGCGATCATTCTTTCTCCTCAGCAGTTTCCTTCCTGTCATCTTCAACAGCTAAGCAAAAAAGGCCAGTGACAGAATAATCATCCCATATACTGTATGACCACCCCATCCCATTCTGGAGCCAGCTGTGAGGAGCTCCCAACACCCTCAGCCTGGTCTCCAATGGACCTTCCCTCCAGCCCTCCACCCCTCCACAGCCCAACTGCAGCAGTGAGAAAACCACAGGCACTCATTAGAAAAAGGAAAAGCTCGGTGACAGAAGAGTGCCTTAAACCAAAGAATGATGTCTGCCTCTGTTTACTTCTCAATATAAAACCCAAACAGGAATAGATCACAAGTACTGAAAAACAACTGGAGAAGATATCCATCTCTGCATGAACCATTCCTGTCTTTCTTATAAACCACTCTCTACTTAAGGACTGGAAAGGAGTCACAGCAGGATTTTGCCTGCCATGGAGAAGAATCTCTTTGCTGTCAACAGGAAAAAGCCACATGAAAAAACACCCAACCAAAACAAAACGGAACAACCCTGAGAAATTCCTTTGACCTGGGAGCTGAGATACTAATCCTTGCTGCCTTCAGACTACAAAAGTCCAAGGAAACTCCAACAAGCAGAAGATAACTTGGATAACAACTGTCCCAAAAACAAAGCATGATTATTACAGTAGCATTCCATTTAAGTCTCTAACTTTGTGTTATTAAAAGCATGTCTATGAAGTTATACAACACACTCGCATTTAATTACGAGTTCCTTCACTCAGCTAAAATTCCTGATGGGAAAAGTACCATGACTTAACAACAGAGTTAGTTCTCACACATCTACTCTAAATTCAAACCATAAATTACAGCATATATTAACTATCTGATTTATCCTGAACTGCTACTTGGATCATCTCACAGTTTCAAAATCCTGACATTGGTGTTTGCCTAGCTTTGGTTCGGGTGATTAAGCTTCAAGTACTTGCTTACCCTGCCTTTGCCTAACCTCCCTGGTTTCACTGAACAGCATTTTGAAACAGCACCCTCAGTAATTGGGAGATATAAAAATTACCATACAATTTTGTAGATGTGTGTAACAATGTTAAAAAG